GCAACGACAACAGCAATCGGGCGCGCCCTTCCATGCTCGGCACAGCACCTGCCAGCGCAGGCCAAACAGCATGCTGCGTTGTTCAGCCCAACCACTGGCATGCCAGTGCCAAAAACATGAACGGTGTCAAGAAAGTAGCTTTCATGAGCTTTCTTACATGGGTATCATTGCCGATGCATCAGCCTTCGGCTACGGAACACAAAGCCACAAACTGCGCATACGGTGGATGCACGAAATCCTCACCTAAGAAACCCTGGTTTCCGATAATTCCCCGATAAATAGCAACAAACCATGGTTCTATGGGGTTGATTCCCCATTCTTTTCAACCATCGTTCTTTCAAAAACCGGCTGTTTCCCCTGGGTTTTTAAGATGGTTTCCTGAAAAGAAGGATCCCGGGAAAGAATGGAAACGGAAGCTACCCCTAGAATGGTTTACCATTGTTTCAAAGTGGTGCGAAATGGATTTCGTCCAACCCGGATGCCCCTGACACCGACAGGCCAGGCGCGCGCAGCCGCTTCACGGCTGGATTGCCCGGCAGCGAAGGCCGGCCTCGAGATATGGCCTATAGCCTATATGGGGGTTTCTCAAAATGGTGGACCCCCTTTTTCTAGGGGTTGATTCCCCATTCTTTTCAACCATAAAACCGGCCGTTTTCCCTGAGGTTTTCTAGAAAGAAGGATCCCTGGAAAGAATGGGGAAGGTACCCCTAGAGTTTTGGCTGGTTTTAAAGGGAAAATAAAGGAAGCAAGCCATTTGTGGGGTCCCCTTTTTTGAGAACTTCCATTGGGTCCATATATGTATAATAATCTGGACATCTGGGCAGCTAAGCCAAAGGGCTGCAAAATACGAATTGGAGAGGTCTTATGGGCTAACACATATCACAGCTGTGGGATCGGTAGCTCTACTGGCTGACAACGCAAGCCACTCCATCGTCACGCACCCACACACACAAACACGCAAACACAAACACACAAACAGCACAAACACACACACACAGACACACAGAGACACACACACACACAAACACAGAGACAAACAGAGACGCACAGAAACACACAAAGACACACAGAGACACACAGAGACACACAGAGACACACAGAGACACGCAGAAACACGCAGAGACACACAGAAACACACAAAGACACACAGAGACACACAGAGACACACAGAGACACACAGAGACACACAGAGACACGCAGAAACATGCAGAGACACACAGAGACACACAGAGACAAACAGAGACACACAGAGACACACAGAGACACGCAAAGACACGCAGAGACACGCAGAGACACGCAGAGACACACAGAGACACACAGAGACACACAGAGACACACAGAGACACACAGAGACACACACAGACACACACAAGAGACACAGAGGGACACAGAGAGACACGCAGAGACACAGAGAGACACAGAGACACACAAAGACACACAGAGACACACAGAGACACACAGAGACACACAGAGACACGGAGAGACACAGAGAGACACACACAGAGAGACACAGAGAGACACAGCGAGACACAGCCAGACACAGCGAGACACGCAGAGACACAGAGAGACACAGAGACACACAAAGACACACAGAGACACACAGAGACACACAGAGACACACAGAGACACGCAGAAACACGCAGAGACACACAGAGACACACAGAGACACACAGAGAGACACACACAGAGAGACACACAGAGACACGCAGAGACACGCAGAAACACGCAGAGACACACAGAGACACACAGAGACACACAGAGACACCCAGAGACACACAGAGACACACAGAGACGCACAGAGACACACAGAGACACACAGAGACACACAGAGACACACAGAGACACACAGAGACACACAAAGAGACACAGAGGGACACAGAGGGACACAGAGAGACACGCAGAGACACAGAGAGACACAGAGACACACAAAGACACACAGAGACACACAGAGACACACAGAGACACACAGAGACACACAGAGACACACAGAGACACACAGAGACACACAGAGACACACAGAGACACACAGAGACACACAGAGACACACAGAGACACGCAGAGACACAGAGACACACAGAGACACACAGAGACACACAGAGACACACAGAGACACAGAGACACAGAGACACACAGAGACACACAGAGACACACAGAGACACACAGAGACACACAGAGACACACAGAGACACACAGAGACACACAGAGACACACAGAGACACACAGAGACACACAGAGACAGAGACACAGAGACACACAGAGACACACAGAGACACACAGAGACACACAGAGACACACAGAGACACACAGAGACACACAGAGACACACAGAGACACACAGAGAGACACACAGAGACACACAGAGACACAGAGGGACACAGAGACACAAAGAGAGAAACGCAGAGACACACAGAGACACAGAGGGACACAGAGGGACACAAAGAGACACGCAGAGACACAGAGAGACACGCAGAGACACAGAGAGACACGCAGAGACACAGAGAGACACAGAGAGACACACACACAGAGAGACACAGCGAGACACAGCCAGACACAGCGAGACACGCAGAGACACACAGAGACACACAGAGACACATAGAGACACACAGAGAGACACAGAAAGACACAGAGAGACACAGCGAGACACAGCGAGACACAGCCAGACACAGCGAGACACAGCGAGACACAGAGAGACACAGAGAGACACAGAGAGACACAGAGAGACACAGAGAGACACAGAGAGACACAGAGAGACACAGAGAGACACAGAGAGACACAGAGAGACACAGAGAGACGCAGAAGGACACAGAGAGACACAGCGTGACACAGCGAGACACAGCGAGACACAGCGAGACACAGAGAGACACAGAGAGACACAGAGAGACACAGAGGGACCAGAGAGACACAGAGAGCCACAGAGCGACATGCAGAGACACGCAGAGACACGCAGAGACACAGAGAGAGACAGAGAGAGACAGAGAGAGACAGAGAGAGACAGAGAGAGACAGAGAGAGACAGAGAGAGACACACAGAGAGACACACAGAGAGACACACACAAACACACACACAAACAAACAACCACACACACAAACAAACAAACGCACACACAAACAAACAAACAAACAAACAAACAAACAAACAAACAAACAAACAAACAAACAAACACACACACACACAAACACACACACACACACACAAACACACACAAACACAAACACACACACACACACAAACACAAACACAAACGGACACACGGACACACGTAGAAACGTAGAAACGGACAAACACACAAACGCACAAACGCACAAACGCACACGAACACACGAACACACGAACACACGTACAAACGTACAAACGTACATACGTACACACGTAGACACGTAGACAGGTAGACACGTACACACGTACAAACGTACACACGTACACACGTACAAACGTACAAACGTACACACGTACACACGTACACACGTACAAACCGTACAACCGTACAAACGCCCTGGCGCGGGCGCCGTGGTTCCACCTTTCCAGCAGATTTGCAACTTTTGTTGTGAGGCCCTAGCAGAATTGCACAAACACGAACTTGTGACAGCGATTGGCAAGCTAGGGAAAGCATCGGGGCACCTCAGGGTTCTGGCCCCGCACTACATATACAAAACACATAATATGTACACACACACACACACTGTACACAATATATAAATATATATTGTGCTTATATTGACCACACACACACAAACAAACAACACCACAACACACGTCAAATCCTGACACACACACACACACACACACATCCTTTGGTAGACTCATATTACTCATAATTAGACAACACTTTGTTTGGGAATGGATTGACATGAGTCTGGCAGAAACTCCAGCCCCCCTTCGGAGCCCTGCGCATCGGTGACTTGGGCGGCGTCATGAAATCCATCAGCCTGACCATCGGGAACGCTGCGACTTCTGATCCAGCAGTGCGTTGTTGAGCACGAGTGCCCACGTTGGGTTCTTCACCAGACTTACATTCCTCCCGAAGTGCGCATCAAGTGCAATATGTCGCGGGTTCTAATGAGTGAGGGGCTCAACAGCGCTTGACTTGTTGATTCAAACTAATGGTTCTAATGGACCAACTCCAGCAAACTGAAGTTCCCTGCAATGACATATCTCTGCTGTTCTCAACTGCCTCACTCGTCCACTCGCACTCTATATGTGCCCCAAAACAACACCTTGTGGCCGAAGGCCGTGGTTGCTCGAATCCATGCAAGCGATACCGCCCTCTCCTCTCACCCTTCCTGTCTCGGAAGCGTCCCGTTTTGACATACGAGCTTCTTGCCTTCCCGCAAGGAGCAACTACCCCAACGGTAGGGCCAACAAATGGGTGTGGCTCAAAATTAAACAGGTTGGTCCATGTTTTCACTTACCAGGGTTCCATTTTGGTACCGGTTTTTGAGCCACAGCCAAATAAGAATATGTAAGAATACATCGGCACCCAGGCATCATTGTTCTGCACCTTGAGGGCAGCGCTCTGCCAACATCACACTGAACACAACGCGTCAACCAGGCAAGCCACGCCTGGACTGTCTACCCAAGGCAATTGTCCGCAAGCGCCGCAAGACCACGCAGTGCTTGCATTTGGAAAGGCAGTCTGATGTCGGCGTGTCATGTCTGTTTGAATCACGCATTTCCTGTGGCTAACCCCAAGCTGTCAAGCCATCAGTGAGGTCAGACGATCGATCCGAGGTGCGAGGGCTACGAGGTATCCGACAAACTTTGGAGCTTGCGGGGCGCAAAGCAAGGGAATCGCACTCATATTATAACCAAGTAACACCAGATAATACCAGGCAATGCCTTGACACAGTAATGCTCCTTCCAAAGCCTACTGCACTGCTCCTCGCAGGGATGTCTCTGGTTTTGTCAAAATCTTCAGATTGCTTCAAGGCATAATGACAAAAACAAAGCCGGGTGGGTCCTGAGGGCACCGGAAACCACTCAACTCTCTGAAGGGTGGCGGACGTTGTGGTAACGCTGCAGCAATCGCTGCAACTCCAGCTTTCGTGCTTGCTTCTGCTCCTCAAGTTGCCAGCATGGGCGATTGGCAAGTGAAACTTCACAGCTGATGTCTTCCTCGCCATCTACCCTCCAAGACATAGGTTTTAACGCATACAATGCATTCGATATCAATCCTGCTGCAAACCCGCATCCAGCAACTCTGCCTCTGAGTACTCTGAGCATTACGTTGGAAGGCTGGGTTGTGCATTCTCTCACTTGACGACCTTAACGCATCTTCAGTCGCCTAGAAACTTCATCGACACGAACATCTTAGCTGGCTGACTTCTCCTCGCGTCCGGACACAATGCGCTTTGTCAGGCCCGTCATCTCCAAGGATTGCTTGTGCAAAAACTGCTCCTGCACCCGTGATACAAGGAAGAACGTTCCAACGCAATGCAGCCACTCACACCGTCTCCTCCAAACTGCGGATCTTGGTCTCGCGCTTGGCGCCCCAGGCTTCTCTTTCTTTGGCCTCATGAGCTTGACACACATACCTCCCGGCTTCCCCAAAAGAGCGGTCTAAGACCCTCCTAGCTATGATTGGAGGGGAGCCTCAGCTCAGGGAGCTCAAATGCTTGCAGCTTGCCTCCAGGAGGTCCGCCTGCTGTTTGGTCTTGGAAGCCTCGGAATACCTTGGCACAGGGCGGTTCATCTGTCCCTCCAGGGTGCCATTCTGAGAGCCCGGCTTCTTCATTTTGGCAAGGGTATCCTCAGGCTCTCTTGGTACACTCGCTGCTAAATGTTGTCTACCTGCTTGAAATTCAAGACCGGGACTGAGCAAGCTGCATCAACAAATCAAAGCTCATAGGCTTACGCTGTGCACTTGCAATGCCATGCCGGCTCCTGAATCTTCCTCAAGTTCAGAAGATCCTTGCTGAAGCGTGGATTTCGAGGCTCGGTCTCCGTCTCGAACTGGCCGCTCGGTGAACGGCGGAGCTGGGCAGTTTGCACTTCGACAGTCTGACAAATGAAACCAATTCTCCACAAGCTGGCGCCAACATACCTCCCTTGTTCAGCTGGAGGCAGCTGACTTGCTCCATTTGCAGGCCAATGTTCTTCGCTAATTGGGCTTGAGTACGGGTTAGAGGATTTCCCCTCACGGGCCATCATGTCGAAGGCAGATGGTCAGTGTCTGCAATGTATGCTCAGTTCTGCGGCCTTCTTCCGCGCATCGGCAAACTCCTGGTTGTGCCTGCCAAGGCATCAGCCCACTGATTTCCATGCAAGAGCTTTGAAAAAAAAACTCCTCCGGAGATACCTGCTATGCCGCTGCTTTTCCCTTCTTGGACAGGGCGTCGTATGACTACTTTTGTCAGACTCCGTGGCACAGAAACAAGGTCTGCGCATTTCAGGGGACGCTTATCACAGAATCTACCAGGAGGCTTGGCTTCTCGCATGCGTGCTGCTGTCTCCTTGTCTAAGTCACAACAAATGTTGCGCATGGCATTCGTGCGTTCAATAGGGCTTTGTTGATGTGGTTCGCAGATCGAGACTAAAGTTCAACAGTGCATCCATCGCGTGCAAGTCGAACAGATTGCAGATCGTCAATCATGTTGGTACCCGAACCAGCGCTGCTGAAAGAAGAAATTGTGACAAACAATCTGATTCTCGACCAACATGTGACACAGTAATGCTTATAAGTCGGCACGAGTGCAACCATGGTCGTTGTATAAGACTCGTGAAAGTGTATCACGGACTAGTTCTTTGTGTCTTTGGCAAGCAAGGAATCAACCATGGTTCGCATTCCACAACTATTCCACACGTCCGCGAACGGAAGTGAGCGGGGTTCTCTCCATTTGCCACTGGCCGCAGCCAACCCTCTTCCATCGGCGGAGCTGACCCAAACGGCACTGGCCTCTCTTGCAGCTGGGCTTGCAGACTCGCTGCGTGAGCTTCAAACTCTGCAACCTGGCCAGCTGGTGACATGTCTGCGTCGTTGAACGCCAAATGAACATGTTCCTGATGAGGCCTTCTGTTAATCTCTCTATTTCCATCATAATCTAGTTGGGCAATGCGCAATGCAAGCGAGTTGAGTGTGAAGACCCATCATTGCGGGAACCTAATGAACATCATGTCTTTGTTTTGTCGAAACTTGTCCTACGAGGCGGAAAGGGCTGCAACATGCCACACAGTGCTTTTGTACTAAAGAGTCAAGCTAACCATGTTGAAAGGTCACATCCATTGAAGCGGTTGCTTCATTGTACCGGCGTAAGATACTGACATTTAATGTACACTGACGATGGTGGCCAGCAACATGACAATATACTTATGCTGCTGTTACCGCTGAAATTGTGCTTGCAGGACAAACAACGGCTAGCTGGATTGCAGAAATGTATTTCGCCTCGGCCGTGCAACATCATTGGACGATGTTCTGAACACACACACACAAAGACTGAAGCACTGCCTCCGGAACGATAGACAGTTTGTTTGGGCACCGCACTTTCCTATGCTGTGCTCTCCAGACCAAACTTGGCGAAATTGGTTTAACCTTAACCCATCAAACCCTTGTTTGCGGTAAAGGGAAGCCAAACGCAAGCCTTTTTTACACAATCGGTGTGTAAGCATGTATAAACAAGGAGGCCCAGCCCTGGAAACCTTTGCCCTGGCACTCAGAACTATCTCATGGGCTCGCGAAACTGCCTGAATCTGTTCCTAGGGCGCCTTAGGCGAATCGAAAGCAGGCAAACCATGTTCTATAGCAACCGCTGGCGCAAGGTGAACCAACTCTCCAGCGCCAGTCGACAGCTCACCTTCTGATCCCAGTGTTGGTTGAACTCCTGCAGCTCCTTCATGTGCGCCTGTGACATGGGTACACACACGCACATGCGCGTACACGCGTTGACGTATCTTTGAAGGCACAAATCACACAAACACAACATGCATCTTGAAGGAGCCCACATGATGCCCAAGCCAGACTGAGGTGGCCCTCACCAGAGACTCTTCAAGGCCTGAATGCCAGTGTTAAACAATTAATTGCACAAATTGCAGTCTCGGCGAATGCAAGGCACATCTTCACTGCCCAGCAAGAGCTTCTTGGCAATCTGAATGCATGCGTGGTTAAACAATGGAACATTTGGGACTCTAGTGATCTGTTAAGTGCCGGGGGCATTCTACTGACTGGGGGTGAGCAAGAACCCCTTGCGGTGGGTGAGGGCATTTTCGCTCTGCTGAACCCCATCCCAGGCATAGAGTACCAACAGAGCCACGGGGAAGTCGCGGAGAACAATGCGCCAGGGCAAACCAAACAATGTCAAACAAAACGAAAATCAAATCAAACAAAAGGAAAATCATATCAAACAAATCAAAAATCAAAAGGAACATCAAATAAAAACAACTGACATGATGTCAAAACCGTGGCAATTGGACCTGTCCTGAAGGCAGCAAAATTGGCCAGGCCTCCTCTACTCCGAGGCGTTGCGCCAAATGTCGCTGCCGCAAGGCCTAAATCGGCTACTCGGAGGCTGGCGGTGTGGGGGGGGGCGTGGGGGGGTGTGCTGGGTGTGGTGGGTTGGACAATAACCAAGTGAAGTTTATCTTAAGACTATTATCAGATCTTCACATGGACTGGGTGTGTTGTGGTTTCTGTGTCTGCCTCTTCTGTTTGTTGCAGCGTTGGGGAGCCTCGGGGTGTGGGGTGGGGTGGGTGGGTGTGGGTGTGGGCGGCAAAAGAGCGGCTTTCTCATGCAGTTCGGCCCCGTAGGTCGATCAGATTGCGCTTGAGGGTCAGGACGAGTTGCGGAGAAGAGATCATGCGGGAAACGTGACTGAGAGCAAGGCTTTGGAGAATTCAGGCTGACATAATACGATCTCCGGCTGAGTACGTTGCAAAAACACTGCGCGTTGTTTACATAGAGTTATCAGCACTCTGTACCTGTCTACCTCTATCGACATTAGCCACCTTAAGATTTAAAAGGACACTAATGAGGGCGAAGAAGAACAAGAACGAGACCAGCAAGAACAACAACAGCAGCAATTGTGGTCTCCGCTGGGCAGTTCCGATGGTTCCCAACATTTCGTTACTCCATACCTCGCCTACAACCAGAAATATGGTTTTTGCCACTCCGCCCCTGTCCATGCCTCTTTGCGCTTGGCATCAGCCTTCTCCTGTAGCAGCTCCAGGCGCATCCTCAGAAAACGTCCATGCCAGTTTGCCTGGGAACCCTCTGGTTTAAATCCCCTTTAAAACAAATAAGAGACATGGGGGTGCCTAAGAAAACAAGACCCCAATAGCTTTCCCTCTGGTGTCTCTCTCTATTTGCAGAAAAAACGGGGGTGCCTAAGAAAACAAGACTGAAAGGAGAGCAAACACCGGCGGTACACGTGGCTCCCTGAGCCCGGAGCTTCACCTGCTCCGCATCCTCATATTTTCCCTGGCATGCAATGGCCAGTGCGCCTGTGTGCCTTGGTCTGATTTGTGAGCCACTTTCATTTTTCGACACGCTAAGCACCGTCTGTTCTCGGTGTGGCTTTTACACGCCCACCACAGGCCACCCCAAGAACACATGTCTCCTGCCTCAATCTCGAACTGTCTCCGCTGCTGGTCAAGAGCCTAGCGCATCTTTGCGATCGGAAGCAAAACGCCAAGCGCGCACGCCTCTGCGCAGGCATCCAGGTCACCCTCATCCCCGAAGACTTCGACCTCTGCATCCTGAGGTGTCGGGCTAGGAACTGCAAAGAGGCGCGTCAGCACGATTGCCACCCGCCTCCATGATTCCTGGTGCGGGCGAAGGGGTGTCTGGGTAACTTCTCGTGATCATGGAGTGCGTCAGCGCACATGGTGGCAGAGGACAATTCCAGTGGTGCCAGCTGCGTTGATCTGGCAATACTTATCCAAGGTCACAGAAGCGATAAGGATGGAGTGAATTTATCAGCCTGCTTATTCCTGTTCCAGCTGGCGCTCAGTGGCCTTTTCGTCCCGCCCGCTCCGGCTGTCGATCTGTCGAGGCTTCTGTCGAGGCTCTAATTGCATCGGGTCCATAATTATTGTGGTCCTCTTACGCAACTCCTCACATCTCTGAAGCACATGCCAGCCACCAAGCTCTTCGTGGCTAGCACGTCTCCTTCTGCAGACCGGGCGGTGCTTCTGGCGAAAGTGAACGGCGCGCTTAGGATGTTCCACGCCATGTTCGCCGCGTTATCCTCCACGATCAGCGCATGAGTGGCCTTTCGATTTGGCCTCAGCACCAGCTCTATGTTTTGCGAAAGAACGCCGGAAAAAAAAGAAGAAAAAACACACACGCACGCATGCGCACAAGGTACAGGAAACCATGCACAACCTATCAGCTGGGTGACATTGATGTGCCAGCCACCCGACTCGTGCAGCCAGTCTGAAGTGTCAGGCCTTCGCACCGTCTTGCTGCTCGCTCTCCGCACCTCTACGCTCTCATCGGTACGGTAGCGGATCTCCAAGACCTCGCCACCTGCACGCACGCCCAAGCCAAGACATGAGGCTAAAAATTCCCCGGGGATCAGTGAATCAGCCTTCGGGCCAGGGCACAGGCGGAGCAGACCATTTGAGAGACCGAATGTGACATAGCAGCAATGAAGCCAACTAAAAGGCAAAGGTCCCCAAACAGCAGGTCTAGATGGGGCAACAACAGTGCGCTTCACCTGAGGTACAAAAGCAATCTCATGCTAATAAGAATGTGCCAAATGAAGCGGAATCTTTGAGCCGTGCCGAACTCCCTTAAGATCTGCGGAGACCAAGGCTGAGAGGCCTGCTTGTTCTAAATCAAACGGCTAACCCACAGCCAGTATGGCACATGGCGTGACAAATGTCGTCATGCTCAGCAACACGAGACGGCACATCGCTCCGTTTTGCGGAAACCCCGCAACTCCCGGGAGTTCCGGGAGAACAAGACCGACATGTAAGTGAAGTGTTGAAAAGTTGCGAAAAGGCACAGCACCTCAAGTGACCCTCAGCTCAAGGTGCCTTGCGCCAGGCGCTTTTGCGCACCATCGCCAGGCTCTGTTGCGCCACGCTTTGGAGTTTCGCCAGTTTGCTAGCTGGCCATCTTGACAGCTCGTTGGAGCGACCCCCGCCACCCTCCCCCCCCCCCCCCCTAACTAGTATTGTGCTGCTATGTGCTGCTTGTTGGACCCAGATACGATGAATTGAACCAGCTTGCATGACTTAATTGTGGTGGGCTGTGAGTTTGATTGAGGATCACTTTGCAAGTGTTCATCATTCTGACCATACCATGAAGCCAACAACATATCTCCCCGACAACCTCAACCCTATCATAGTTTCTACCCCAATATCGTTTGTATCCCTTGCTATGGGGTGCCTACTACAAATAGCTGGTTTCCCCGCAAAACACTGTACAACACTGCAAAGGGAGCTTCTCCAAGGCAGACCTGTAAGGATATTTGGCAAAATAATTAGGGGGCCTCACAAATGGTCGTGTTCCCTTTGGTTTCCCTGTAAACCAACCTTGACTAGGGAAATGTTGGGACCCTCATTTGTAATTTCTTCCGGATGCCAGCCTGCGCCCCCCCCCCCCCCCTGAATCCCCAAAACGGTTTTCCATTTCAAGCAATGTTGGAAACTGTAGTCACAACTTATCTATTTTTCACCCCCAGCCCCCCTCCAGTGCTATCCTTGCCTGCCACAAACAAATGCAAAGCATGAAAATACAGTTCTGAACTACGAAGCTATTGCAAATACTTGTCCAATGCTACTTTATTTCAGAGCTCCACGGATTCCCATAACACATCTCTAATGAATCAGATATCCGGAAAAAAGCCAATTTGCTACTAGTTTGTCAAACAATCAATATTTTACAAGCTCAGAAAGGGTACCTCCCCCCTTCAAGGCCAGTCGCTCCAATAGCAAGAAACCCCTGATTAATCATGGCCCTCTTCAGCAGTGGAAACAAAAAAGAGGCACAATGGCACGTTACCTTGCTATTATTGCCAAAGCAAGGAGAGCACCGGAGAGGACAGGAATTTGACAGGGGCGGGGGGGCCCTCCAAAAACTTACTTCCTAAACCTTGACGATCTTGAGGCTGGGGGGGGGGGGCCGCCGGGTGAGCAACTACCCTCAGACACTATACACCCGCATTTGGCAGTTGGTCCTTCTGTGAAGTCCCCAAAACTTCAGTGCACATACTAAAATAAAGTTGGTTGAAATTCATATAGCATTAATTTGGGTGACCTTTTGCAGACATAGATGGATTTCCCTGATGAATATGGCAGTGGGTCAAAAATATGTACCCAAAATAGAATCCTGGTAAATGGAAACGTGGACCAAAACCTGCGGTCCCCTGGTGGTTTAATTATGATCCATGCCCATATGAGTCACAATCAAAACCCGGTACACAAATGGTGAACCCAGAACCATGCCTCAAGAATTAGAAAGGCGGCTGCAACTATTTCCGGCTGGGACTGCTCCTTACTATCCTTCATCTACCCGGGTTTTGAGTGTGGCTCATATGGGCCTGCAGTTCTTGAGGGTACCCATTTTGGTGGCTTCACTGTTTTAGTTTGGTGGCCCTAAACGGGGCATCCATAAACGGGTTTCACCTTTGGGCTGTTTTGGGCCCATGGAAGGTAACGTGTTTGGGGGAACTTTGTTAATGAATCCCCCGTTTAGGGACCTCTAATTTAGGGGCCCAAAACAAAAACCAGCGTCGCTCGCGCCTGGCGGCAGCTTCAGCACCGCCACCGCCCCCTCCGCCGTGGCCGCAGGCGGCACCTCGCAGCAGGCGCCGTCTGCCAGCTCCACGCGGGCACCAGAGGCGCCCAGGGACACCCGCGCCCCGCGCCCCGCGCAGAGAAGGCGCTCCTCAAAAGAAACGGACACATGCAGTGCTGCAACAGCAATTGTAAAAGTATTATATATATATATATGTATATATATATATATATGTATATCATATTATAATATATATATATATAATATTATAAATCATATATATATATATATACATATTATTCTAGCCTGTTCGATATCTTGGGGGCCGAATCGCAATCCATAATCTGCCTAATCCTTCTGTTGGTTGGTAATCTTCTTAATCCGTACTCCGCGCTGCAAATTGCGGGTCAAAACCTCATTGCTGGAGCATCGAACATCCATGCAACGCGTGATCTGCAATCCGCAAGCCGCATAATCTAATCCGTAAACTGCATAATCCGCAATCCGCCGGGGATTAGGTTTGGACAAGCTAAATATTTATTTCCCCCCCCCAAACAATAAACAACCTTCCCACAGATTATGTTCACTGCACTTTGACCCCCCCCCCCCACCTGAGCCTTAGCGATTTCACGCCTGTAGTCCCAGAGTTCCGGGAATGAGAAACACATAGCCATCACAACCGTGCAAGGGCATTCAAAACGACTTGTATTACTTACAACAAGGACGCAACGGCCATATGATTGCAAAAGAAGAAAACGGCTTTCTTGGCCACATCGCCATTCATTCATAGTATTGGTACCTCAGAATCCGCTCTGCAGCGAACAGAACCGTGTGAAACTTCATTTCTCGCCCCACCTGGCACATCACGGCCAGCGCGCTGTATTGAGCATGTTCTTGAGGGCTCCTGCACAAGTCAACGTCGAAGTGGTCGAAGCGTGCTTGAAACTTGCACCTTCCGAAGGGGAGCAAACATTTCAATTCTAGCAGTTAAGTGGGGATTTCCCACTAAAACACAATAAGCAAACATGTAAAATGTTTCCCAGCAAAAACCATCTTCTTTCTGGGGCGAAAAATCCACACCGCAGCTTGCGCCCGTCCATCCACACCATTCGCCGCTTCTGCAGCCCGGTCCTCTGCACCGCCCCCCAATTCAGCAGCTCCGCCGCCGTGGGGCACTCCGCCGGCAGCTCCGCCTCGATGCGAAGCAGCACCGTGTCCTGGTGCCGGCCGGATCTATGGATGGGTTCCTAGGCTCCAAAATGGCAAGCCCAAAGCCACCTATCCACGTTTTTTTCGCCAAAGCTTGCTCCAATTAGGTTCGAAGTCTCCAATTTTTCGCCAAAGCTTGCTTTCCACTTGTCTTTAGAGTCGAAGTCTCAGTTGTCACAATGCTCAAGTGGCTTTTCGCGGCTCTGGGGCGGCCTTCGAGAAATATGTTGATACCAAATTGTTTGGAATGGGAAAGCCTGACAAGTGGAATCTAAACATGCGCTCTTCGTTGGAACAAGTGCCCTCTTTACATCTCTTTGCAAACCCGAGGTGAAATCGGTCGCTACCCCATAGCTTATTCTACTCTTGTCTCACCCTGTTACCCTCCGACCAATTAACACGGAACCTGACAGGGACCCTGTCCCGTTAAAAAGGAACATGGTCTTCCAGGACCCCGAAACGTCAGGCTCCATTGATTGGTGGGAGGACAAGTGTTCATCCACTCAGCCAAGCTGATTGGGTCCGCCTCCAGCAGCCTGCCCCTAGTCATGTCCGCAAACAAGCGCCGTCGACCAGCGGCCATTGCTCATGCAAGCCACAAAGGCGCACTTTCGAAGAGGGCTGCGATGGTGATGCTCGCTTCGGATTCATCCGGACGAATCTACGGGGCGGCTTCCGAGCAAGGAAAACAATGAGCTTCTCGGACCAGGGTCCGGCACCCGAAGGGCTGTGCCGACTTCAATTGGCCAAAATCCAGCACGAGCTATGTGGCTCCGCGAAAGGTCCGTAGCAGGAGAGTTGGCTTATCTCATAACGAGAAGCACGTCAGGCTTAAACTTTGCTCACTGAACTTGTCTGAGCCGCAGTCAGGACATTACTGAACTCTGCAAAAAGCCGCGGGCACTTTGCGTGGCATTCAGGAGAATCACCATGCAACTGTTCACTCGCTTACAGTCTGCCATGCCAGTACTTTCGCACACCGCATATCCTCTTATCTAAAGTGGCTTGGGCATCTTTGCGATCATGCGCTACCAGGTCGCATCAGGCCCCAAGCCTTGTTGCACAGGACCTTAGCTGGCACGCTCAGCGCGACAACACACCCTGAATCGTTTGGCAATGTTTGTCATCTTGGGCTGTAACCTACCCTGAAACACGTGTCACTCCAGTGAGCCACCAAACGCCCTTCGCTCTGGCACTCTGCTGAACGTGAGATTTGGATGGGTAGCTTCACACCATCTGCAAAGCAACAATCAGCCTGTAAGCGATCCATTTCTCTGGAATTATCATTGCTTGCTAGATACCCGTGTGCGCAACTTGGTTCGAGTTGCTCATGAATATGTGTATATATATATATAGCCATAATATGTACATTATGTAAGTTGTCACATCTTGCCATTAACTACCTTTTGCGCTTCTGCCAGAGCCCGAATTCACCACGAATCAAGGTATCATGTGCTAGTCCTATACCTTCATCTGCTCATCCGCTAAAAGCCCTGTCGAAGTTAACACGATAGCATCACGTCTCGGACTCATCTGAGGTGGAAAACAAAACACGTATTAAAACTCTTATCCCAAGTTGTTTTCATGGCAAATCCAAGCGGCTGTCTTCATAAGCATGAGGTCCCCCAATAGCATGCCCCTTGAAGTGTATGAGGTCTCATGTGTATACACCGCTGCACAATTTCTGCAAGCAAATTCCCTCGGGAAATTGCTGGGACCTGCAGAAAAAAGAAAATGCAAAATTCAGAAATGGGCCACTCCTGCTCCAAACAGTTTGGGAGCATCTGCGGACTGCATGCGACTTGCGCGGCGCGGGACTTGCGCGAAAACTTGTTAACCTTTGGGCCATGGTGATGATGATGATGCTGATGATGATGAATCATCACTGCGTCACTTGCGCTTCACCTGCCCTTTACTTGTGCAGCCCCGTGTTTGACTTGCGCGGCCGCTCCTGCAACAAACTCCTGCCCTTCAAATTACAAGCGGCGGTGCGGCTGATTTGATAGGTCCAAAACAACCGGGATCATTCCTTACATTGACACATACAACGGCTTTTTGTTCCGGCTCATCTGCTCATCTGTTCAGCGCCATAAATCCACGCACACATCTGCTGAAGGCCACAGCGCTTGAGGAACTAATAGGACTTAAAGTGCACACATCATCCGAAGTTGAGAAGTGACGAGCAGCAAGCTGCTTATCTTGCATTTGTAGTGCAATACAGCTTGTAGTACTTCCAGTACTTGTGGAACTACTCGTAATACTTGATAGAACTGCTTGCAGTACTTCTAGTACTTTCCGTATTACGGCAGTATGTGCTTGTAGTACTTGCAGTACTGCTTGCCATACTTGTAGTACTACTTCAAATACCTTCAGTAATTTGTACTAATTGCAGTATGTGTAATACTTGGTTGTACTGCTCGTAGTGACTTCGTAGTGATTGGTAGTGACAGTACGGGTTTTACGTGTTGCACTTTTGCATTCCGCGAAATACCGCTGCCAATACTTGTAGCACTTGTAGAAGGGCTCAGGTTTGCAAAAACTAAGCTCAGAAGAGACCAGTCCAAACCCTCAAGTTGCACAATCTAACTTCCTTACGTATTTGCAAAGGCCATTGATTCAAGACTAACGACTGCCAGAGTTGAGGGGACATATTTTGGATTGTGGATATGGACGACTTGGGGCACAACATGCTTGGGGCATAAATTCGCAGGGGCCACATCTTGACAATGACTGTTTCCACCGCTGTGCACCTACGGAGCTGCGGCGGTAATTGCAACAAGCATCGCGGCAGGCGGCATATGAGACAAGTGGCAAAAGCGAATCCACAGCAAAACAACCAACAGAAACAGTGTTCCTGGCGTTTGAGCTGTATCCTTACCGAAAGGATCAAACAAACAGACAAACACAACAAAAACACAACTTAACAGTTCGGCCCAGCCAAACATCCAACACTTGTGCGAGATTATTGGCTTTGGACATGTTGTTGATTCGATTCTTTTGGTTTGTTTCCGTCTGTTTGAAGGATATAGAACACAACTCGAGTCCTTCTTGGCTTTCACAATGCTTGCCATTAACTAAAACTAAAACATACTCAAGCTTTTCCGGTTTGCTGTATCCCTCCCCAAAAGCAAAACGGCTGCTACTTCTGGATCGTGCAAGTGTTGAACAAAAATAGCATGGACACTATACACATCTTTGCAGTCGAAAAGTCAGTTGTTTAGCCATAATGCAAGAAAACCAACAAACAACAAACACGGGGAAAACCAACAAACACAGATTCTGAGAGCAATCGTTGGCTTGATGTGTGCTTTGTTGGTTGTCCCCACAATTTTGTCTTTGGGTACTTGAGTTGTGTTGTGTGTTGTGGCTTAGAACCGACACAAAATAAATCAAACAACTTGGGGTAGTGGTGCTTTGGTTTATTGAATTCGGCAGTAGCAATCCCCATTTCTTTCTTAGATTTCTTGAAGCGTCAAAAGGAACAACTCAGTTTGTTTTAAGCAATGAAGAATCAAAAACGTACCTTCCCCGAATAAACAAATAAACACAGCCGAAGAAACCAAGGACATACTGGCAAATACAAACATCACAAACAACATAATGAAACCAACTTTGCTCGAGTGTGGTTTTCGTTTCTTGGTTTTTGAGTCTTTTGTGTTGGAGTTCTTTGAACAATTCTTCTGTTTTTGGGAACGTGTTCCATGTGACGAACATATCTTGCACATGCAACACAATTTAAACGAATGCAATGACCTGCCTGTGATCACGGCGTTTGCAAGCTATGCAAATATACTGGAATTTACCGCATTGTGCCATACTTGCCAAAGCTAGTTCTGTGATTACTTTACTAACCCAATTCAGCTCTCCGAATTTAGAGAAGCTAGCTGACTGCATTGGACAGTGTGTTTTATGGTCACACTCTCAAAGGTAGATTGGGGGTTGTGACTCCATATCCTATATATACACACATATATATATATATATATACATTGTATGTATTATATATATATATATATTTACACTGCAAGTATCATAACACCCGCACACTCACACACACACACACACTTGCTACTATATATGCGCGAAGCATCAGAGATGGCCTCTCCTTTGAGTCAACCCGCTCGTGAGGATCGCTTACTCTGTGTGGGACATTCTAAACGCACATGCCCTTCGTCTCGCGCGTTCAGCACGTGCTCTAAAAAGCAGCGACAGAAATAAAGAGGCCCAATTCCTAGAAAGGTTCTGAGAACCTTATCAGATGGGGTTCTGAGATCCATTATTGGGGGTAGGGGTGTGCTCATGTCGTTCACGACTTGATGTGATTCTCGAAATAGAAAGAGCAGCTGTGGTGCATTCTGCGATGGCCTTTGCATCGTCTTTCCTTGATCTACCTGTCGCCTCGCAAATGAGATGTTGCGCTGGCATGTACGTGTGCCCTATCAGAAATAAGCACCCAACTGCAGGCATCTGTTCAACACACGCCAAGTCTTGCTGGCTTGCAAAGTCCAAATGCATCTGCAACCTCGCTCCCCTCCTCTCCCCCCTGCCCCCCCTCCCCCACTCATCAATCAGCCAAGCCGCTCGCCGCTCCGGACAGCTAACCCCACGCTGTGCTGAACCCGTGGCTGCAGGACGACCCATTTTTGATAAGCTGCACAAACAACAGCAAGTGCCGATTTACAGGGATCACAGGTGTGCAGCTCCATCACACACATGTCTCCTCAGATCGACTTTTATGGTGAAAGCAGTCTCAAGGAAGACTCAAATGCGCGGAAGGGGGCCAGAACAGTTCTGTCGAGAAGCCTTGATTACAGCTGATTCCTTTTCGTGTTCCCGCGAACAGCCGGGGTGAAACCGTGGTTGAAACAAACCGCTCGCCTGCGGGGCGTCTGCACTGAGGTATTTCATGGTTGCATTGCGTCTGCAGATGACAGGGTAAAAGCATCGTTGCAAGGACGCTGCCCTTGTGAGACATCTAGCGACTGCTAGCTCTGACGGTGCTATCTGCATCGATCGCGGCCTGAACAAGGCACATGGACGCCTCTGTCACGTAAGCAAACAACACAAACTGGCGTCCCTTCCTATTGCTTGGTTGACGTCGAAAGGGAGCAAAAATATACAATTTAGCGGTTAAGTTGGGATTTCCCACTAAAACACAATAAGCAAAAATGTAAAATGTTTCCCAACAACAACCATGATTGTGCCGAACAGGGGCCGGAAAGCAACGCACTGCCAATGGAGAGATGTTCGACATGGCCACACTGTGCAAAGTCTGATCTGATTTTCTGAGAGGAAGGGCAGGTTTTGTGAATTGGAGATCCACCATCGTCAGCAGTATGCGGCTATTACGCGGATTCATCTTTGCAGAGGGCCCATGCTCAGCCGTAGAAAGCTCCACAGCTGCTAGATAACACTTCAAGCCTCTCTCATGCTCTCTGAATGCCCCGCCCCAGCGTCCATTTTCCCAATTTTCTGACAACTCGGCCTCGGCCGCATTCTTCACCAGGGCCTGGTCCATGAGCAAAAGCATGCCAGGTAATGCAACACGCCGTGCTGCTCACTGAGCTGATGATTGTCATGTTGCCACATCCTCACATCAGACTATAGCTGGTAGCTTTCATGATGCCATGTCGTGGCCTTTACACCTTACGATTTGACGCTCGGACCAGTCTAGGCTTGTGGCTGCACAATGCTCGTCGAAGTTCAACATGCCACGAGCCTCAAAAAACATGGCTCCAGCCGCTTCAAGTATCCCGCCTCCTATCCACGATCAAAGTCCCCAGCAGGAATTGGCCATCATATTTGGGACTCCGGATTGTAAGTAACATGCAACCAAGGAAGACATGGCGCCCGTCTCACAACCTTGGCTCTCCCAGCCGCAACTAAGAAGCGGGCAATGCCAAGCATGGCCAGTGACACCTCTTCATCTTTCTGATGTCCTTCGGCTTTGGCCACCTGAATCGATGGTATCTCAGATGCCCAGTGGATTTCCATGGGGAAACAATTGGCTCGGCAGCCTTCTTTGGGTTGGTTGACTTTAAAGGAGAACCCTTCCCCCCCCCAAAAAAAAAGGGGGAAAAAGGGCACCACTGGGCAGCTGGGTACTGGTTACGAGCTACAAGGCCTCTTGGGCCCCCATATGCAACAGCATATGAGCAAGCGGCAAAACCTAAGACTACTTTGGGCGATTTCGAACGGGAAGTTACTGATTTTGGGGTTTCACAATATCGTTTCTGAAGATGTCTGACACTCCTGTGCCCCATGTTGCGCCATTTTTACTGCACACAAAATCAGCAAAGGAAGTGTCTCGCAAGGACATGCTTTGGTCATGGAGCGGCAATTTTCGAAGCGGCAACACAGGCAGTGCTGGATTGCGTCTGTTTCGACTGCGCACCAGCACGCCGTCAATTGCCTTCTTCACCGCTTCTAATCTGTGTCGCATCTGTGCGACCACAAATACGGTGGCTTCGTCTGGCGTGAATAGCACAGCTGCCTCCAATTTGTGTAGCCAAAGCCCTCTGAGCAAGTATCGGTGATTCCAGTGCCATGAATTCCATAAAATGCAGTTCACTACACGGCCTGGGCTGAATTGGCAAGCCATTCCAACGTATCAACTCTATGCAAGTCGCCCTTTGTGGAATGAAACCCTTTTCGTTCACTGGGCATGCCTCATGAGCCCTAAGCCTCCGACTGTGGGCAGTCTGGTGCTCCCACGCTTTGCGCAGCCGGCCGCTTGTGGCCGCTCACCTCTCTGCAAGCGTCGCGCCTGCCATGACCAGGGACCGGCTGCGCAGGGGCAGTGTCAAGGAGGACTGGCGCTGCAAACCTCGCAACTGAGACGGCTTCCCGAAAAAATGAAACTGTGCCAACAAGCCATGGAACAAAATGAGCAACGAGCTACTCGTTGCCTTGCCAAATGATACGCAGGAATGCTTTTGTAGTGCCACAAACTCAGCCGCGCTGGGAGCTGCAATCCTCTCAAAATGTGCTGTTTCTCAGTCCGAAATTAGCTTCTGGATTCATTGCTGAATCAAACCTCCCGATTTGTTGATTCTCAGCTGGTCTGGCTCGTGTAAAGCCTAAAACAAGGTATCTATGTTGTCAGCAAAAGCTGACGCTGTCACTTGAATGTCCAGGGGTGCTTGTGAATACCTCTTTTACATACCCCTTGGACAAATGAACCCAAAAGGCCTGCGGATGTTCATACCCCTCTTCCCCGAAGGGGTATATGCCCCTTATAAAGTGGGCTGGAAACCACGCCCTTATAAAGTGGGCTGGAAACCACGGAAGCCAAGGAACCGGTACCAACAAGGGGTATATACTTCCTCCCTTAGATAATGTGATTGAACATGCTATGGTTCCCTTGAAGCTAGCTTGTTCGAACACAACTCTGTCGGTCGGCCTGATCAAATACATAACACGGAGGCAGGTGTACTGTTTCCTGTTGACTTCACTTGAAACACCTAAGGTGGCCTTGACGTGCCATGTCCCTGTACAGCCTTCACTCCACACAGTGACATTTCAAGGGTGCTGGCATTTCGGCAGTTAGTCGCATCCCCACAAAGGATAGAGCCATGCCTCCTCAAAGAAGAAGTCTTGGACTATCTTTGGAAGATTGAGCAACTCTAATTTGGTTCTCCCTGTTGCAACCCGGCCCCGGCAGCTTTGAAAATACTTTCGACATATGATCACCTACTTCGTCAATGCAGGCAGTCGTTCGAGATATCCTTTCCAAATTTAATTGGGCATGGTCATGCTGTGGGCATGCTGGTCTATCAAAACCATCTAGCGTGCTGGATTCATTCCATGCCTTGCTTCACAAGCTGACGACGCGGATGCGGACATGCTTTCTGTCAGACTGTCCTCTCGGACCTTTGCTCCCAGACCTTGTATTCATTCCCGGCTGAGAGGTCTTGGAGGGATATCCTCAGAGTGGATTGCCAACAAACTAAAAAAACACAGCATCATTGAGGTCTACAGTATCCCCTGGCGGACTTTACCGGGAACAGTGCCTACTTCCACAATCTGAATTTGAGCGGGTCCCGGACCAATTATGAAATCAGAACTCGGGATCCCCAAACGCCATTTTGGAGGTGGTTGTGCCTTTCAAGAACCCCCACCCCCCCACCCCTCCCCACCCCCCCACCCCTCTCCACCCCCACCCCTCTCCACCCCCACCCCTCCCCACCCCCCCCCCCCCCCAACCCCCCCCCCCCCCCCCCCCCCGCCCGTAGCCCTGGCATAAAAAAACTTCGAGGCGTCGAAGTAGCCTGGCTTTGAGGTGGACTCTTTGGAGCTGGTCCGGCTGGTGGCCGCCGTCGACGCGCTGCCCGCGCTGATGTTGGAGGACATGCGGCGGTACAACTGAGCCACAAGAAGGGAACACGATTCCTAGGATATGATATACGGTTAAAACCATATATATACATATATATTATACATATATCGATATATGTTTACACATTATGTATATGTGTATATATATATATATATATATATATGTATGTATGTATGTATGTATGTATGTATGTATGTATGTATTTATCATGTATACATATGCATGGGCGCAGGGACCCCAACACATATTTCCGAAACATGGCTATGTGAAAAAAAATAATTCCAGTGAGGGTCCCGTTGGTAGGCATAATTTAGGTGGAGATTCAGATCCACCAACCGCTTTGGACGTGGTTCCCTTCTAGATTTCACAGCCATTTGTCAAACACATTGGGGACTGGCAAGTGATGGGTTTCCATTTGGGCAAGAAGCAACTTGTTTCCCCACCCAACCACTGACTTCGCTTTGCCATAAGCTTTGGGGGGAGTGCTGGCACCTATGCCATGCGCTAGAGGTTTGCACGGGCGTTGCTACAGCCATGGGCTTTTGTCTCCAAATGGCGGCCGGGGGGGTCGGTTTGGCCAGAAGCACCAACACGTGGATCCCTTGTAGCACAGAATCATAGGTTAGAGCTGTTCAAGGGAAACCATCAGGCAGCTGAAAGTGAGAAAAGGGCCGTGTCACCTCCCTACAGCCGCTTGCGGCTGTACACAAGACAGTAGTGATGCTCTTCACAAACTGCCTGTTGCACATAAAGCAAGGAAAGGCATCAAATATCCCACAGCATGTGTTTAGCAACCTTGCGACCATCGCTTTGCATGGATCTGGATTCCCTGTCACCTTACCCGCAGCTGCAATCAAAGTCTTCAGGTCTTCGCTGACCCGCTTCAGACGCGAGCCTTGGAGCGCTTTTTCAGGTCCTCGGGCTCCTCCTCCACCACCTCTTCAGGCTCGCGCTCCAGCTTCTGAGGCGACTGCGGCACGATCTGGTTCAGGAAGAGGTCGCCTCGACGCCACGAGTTGCGGCAAGGCCGGAACCTGGAAAGCCACACCCGCCTGGCCTCAAAATATCTCAAAATGACGGCTGGCCCTTTAGCCTGCTGTCCCTTGACAGCATGATGGCTGCCTACAAAAAAAGCAACAATGGCGGGCCAGGCCATTCATTCCATGATGTCCACAACATATCATTGCGACATGAACAAAAGCACATGCCAAGCCCCCTCAACTGCTCTTCCCTCTAGTTGCCCCCTTCCTTCACCGTGCCCACCCTTCACCCCAGCCAATGCCTTCCCACACACCCACCCCCCCAACCCCCCCCCCGGCCCCCCGACGGCCGGTGCACTCCGCCGTTTCGGCCGTTTCCATCCGTTTCCATCCGTTTCCCCCCGCGCCTTCGTTGGGAGGGCGCAGGCGCTCCGGCTCCGGGATGTTCCGCCAGGGGTCCAGCGGCTCCACGGGGCGCCGGCACTCCTCCTCGAAGGCCTCCCCAAAGCGAAGCTGCCTGCGGGCGGTCCCGGCGCGCTCCGGCGAGCCGTCCGTCGCTCGCTCGGCCGAGAAAGTGGACGGAGGAGTCAAGTCGTAGGGGGGGAGGTGGGTTCCCTACAAAAGTGATGACCTATTGTTAGGAGCAAGGCATAAACCCCTCCTACTAGGGAGTTCCCTCCGAGAGTGATGAAGAATCCCCGCTAAACAGCCAAGTATAGCCAAGTGGTTTATCCCGGAGGAAGAAAGCCCTCCTATTCTTAGCGGATGGTGGCTAAGCTCCCAACGGAAATCATGTCAAACATCTGGTTTTTCAGCTTTTTCCAGAAATCCGGAAATGGTTCAACATAAACATCGAAATGATTCGAAATGTTGATCTCGCTAAGAAAGATAGTGGCCGGGCACAATGTTTCTGGCGCCAGTCTCCTTTTGCCTTTGACTCAAACCAGCCTGAAGATGAGGGTCCCGTTTTCGGGTACTTTCTCTCGTGGCTGTTTGGGCAAATCGGCGAGATTGACAGCCGAATGACAGTTTGCGTTGAGCACTCATCACGGCATATCCACACCATGCCCCGCTTTTCTACCGGACGTCAGCTCAATAAAACATGTCTTCCGTGTTAGTCTGATGACTCGGGGCCTGGAAGCTGCATGTCTCAACCGCTTATGACTCAAACCATCCTCTCAAGCATGACAAACACATGGACTTAATGCAACCCGCTTAAAGCCAAGATGACGTCAGAGCAATGAGGGCAGGACGTGCATGAATTCCATGGTTCGAAGGCGTGGTTCCGCTTGCTCCGCTTGCTGGCCAAGGCTCCTTTCCAATCTCTCCCGCTCTGACCAGGGCAACACTTGGTGCTCTTTGAGCTTCCGGATGTCGTGGCCAAAGCGACGCAGGTCCTCCTCCTGAACGAGAGCCCGACCCCCGAAAAACGATTCGACGAATCGAGGAAAAGTGGCGAGGGAAGGCGAGTTAGAGCAGGCAGTAACTGAAAAAGCACCGGGCAAAGCTGGCACTGCACTGCACTGCAGAAGTTCCAGCAGCTGGGCTTTGGGGAACGCTGATGCTTTGGGGCCGGATGATCTTGATCGCACTGCCCAATCAAAAGCCTTCATCAGAGTCCTTGACATGGATGCAGTTCTTGTACTGAGTGCCCTGGTCCTGCGCGAGCGCGGAACGGCACCGCAACGACTCGACTTATGCACGTATTACTACTGTGGATGGACAAAATCTGCTTCTCGCACCACGAAATGAAACAATGAGGAAACCAATGTTTGTTGGTATTCACAGGGGAATCGAATCATTCCAGGCTCTGAACGGTGGTGCGTTGCAGGGATTTCGCAACCATCCACAGTATGGCGCAAATGGATTGCAGGATCTGAATAGCAATACTCAAGCTTCAGGGATCGCATCAGCCAGCCTATGCTATGCCCAATAGTTGGGAGGTACGTGAGAAGGATTCCGCTGCAACGAAGCCGTGTTTCAGACTCCCGTCCGGCAGGGAAATGACGTGGCCGACCTGCCCAAAGCACATCCTCTCCCTGCAAAGTTAAAATAACACAATCTGCTCACTCCGTGCTTGCTCAGCTGGCTGGCGACTGCAAAACTCGACTCTCTTTGGCCAAACGAGAACTGACCGCGCATCCACCAACACCTCTGTCTCGTCGGAGTGAGGCGCCATCGATATTGAGCGAAGAAACGAAACGACTTCGAGCTGAACCAACATATTCTTTGCTAAGCGTGCTGAACCATGTCTCTTCCACCGTATCCTCCTGCCTTGCACGGTTTCGGCGTGACCTCCTCGGGGATGGCCGCAGGCGCAGTCACTCGACGGATGATCCTGCGGACTGCTTCCGAGGCATATGACGCATTGCAGGCTGTCCCAATCTGCCCTGCTTCAATTCTAGGCAGCTCCTGACACACGCATTTTGTTGCATTCTCATGCTGCAAGTCTGGACTTAACGCGGTCCTCTTCTTCCTTTCCACTGGTGGTCGCATCATGGTTCCCACCAATGGATGCGCGGCGCGGCCGTCAGCCAAAGACTCAGAAGTAGATCAAACACAGTTGCTAACAGTAAGCTTCATGGTACACGCATCTCTGCCTCTTGGGCCTCACACCATTGTGTCCTTGAGCCGATATCGCCATGCCATACCGTTATCTCAAGTACTGCACGTCCGAGTCACTTGAAAGCTCTGATCAGGCATAGCCATGGGCCCCCCTGCAAATCCTAGCCCTTGGTTTCTGTTGGCCTCATAATTGTTTTTGCTGCCAGACTTCCCTTCCTGTGATCCCCCCCCCAAAACAAAAACTATACATGGACCTTCCCCCGTCAAACCCCATAACTCGTATACGCGGGGGTTGATTGAAGCTCCTTTAAACGAGATGACCATCAGGGAAACCAACAAACAAGATGACTTTCACCACATGGGAACAGATATCCATGGTTGTTCTGGGGCCCTAAATGGAATATTGATAAACACCCAAAACAATTAATCAAAAACACCGAGATAATTCTCCCCACCCCATTCAAAACCATGTTGCTCAGATTCCCCCCCCCCCCAAACAAAAAACAACAACAACGAAGAAAGAAAAGAGACAAAAGAGAACAACTTCTTCCCCCCGCCCCCACCTGAAACCCTAAACCATCCTAAACCCATCTTCTTCCGGTCACTCGGCCTCAGCCCCCCCCCCCATTCGATTCGCGTCGATCCGATCGCTTCGCCTCCATGGCCTTGGCGAAGTGGTCCGCCGCCTCATCGAAGCGGCCATCCGTGGCGTTCACCTCGGAAGCGACTTGGACTCGACGGGCTCAAGGCACCCGTCGAACCCACAGCCCGTCTTCTTCTTTGCGGGTCATTGCCCCTTCTTGGGGTGTTTTTTTTTTTTTTTTGAAAGCAGCCCAAAAGGACAAAAGGAAACCACCATGTTAAACTCAGTTGATTTCATGTTTTGTTTTTTTGTATAGGAGCCCAGAAGGAAACCACCTGTTAAACTCATTTTAAGTAATTTAATTTACTTTTGGGGGGGCTCCCCTCAAAAAAGACACCCACAACTGCTTCTTCCCTTGCCCAAGTCCCCTTGGTACTGCCCAAAAATCAATGGGTGGTGTCTTGTGCCAACAACTTGGCCCTATGTTTCTTAGAAACCCGTAGCGGGTTCAACGCTTTTGATGACAGAAAAAGGGAATACTGCGCTGGTTGCACGTTCGCCTGCATGCCAATTGCCTCGCTGCGAGTTACAATGCTGACCGGGCTCTGAACCTCACATCGGTGGTTCATTGGGTGGAAGATTGACAGAGTAGGCTCGCCGGCACCTAGTTGCTCATGTGGTAGCTTGCTATCTCCTCTGGCACTTGGATGCAGTTGTTCACTTATGCAAGAGTTCAATCAAAAAAGAAGAACCTCCCCAAGAACTTCCAACCCTAAAACCCACACCGATCCATCTCGTCAATCCGCAGGGTCCCCACCCCCCATCCCCGAGCCTGGCCCAGGCGATGGTAGGCGCTCTTGCTCACCTCTTTGAGGCTGTGCTGAGCAAACCTCACGCAGTTCTCCTCTGAAGGGCAGCTGAAAACCGCACCGCGTGGAAAAACGTAAGCTCAAGCAAAAACAAAAAACAACGTGTGGTGCAAGTGTAGGCATGAATAATTAACTTCAAACACATATGAGCCATAATGCATATGATTTTATGGCCGTGGCAATAAACTTGAAACAGGCATTCCAACTTGGACGAAGTTGTTTTTTGCGTCCGCGCAAACGGCCCGATTCAGTCTGGCGAATGGACACCCGACGCCAGGCTTCCGCGCTTGTTATCCGCAACCGCAGATTTCTGCCGCTGCGCCGAGCTCAAGTGGTACCTGCGCGGAGCTCTTCATCGGCTCAAGCGGTACTCGCGAGACTTGACTTGGTGGGATCGAGCAAAAAACAAAATGTCGCAAAATCTACAGGACGTGGCCACAACACATCCTAAAGCTGAGCTTCCCGGTAGACTTTCCCGCAACCCAACGCTTTGAGTGTTGGACCCACGTCCATGTTTTGTTTTCCCTCTGGATCTGGCTCACTGCAAACAGATGCGGCTGGTCTGCAAGTCGCCCTGGGCAGCAGAGGCAATGCCCAAGTTGCCAACCTGCAGCCGGGATGATGCGCGGCTGCTAGCGAAGGGGACCCTGTTTTCTTGACCAACCTGTTCCTTGGAACCAAAAGGTTATGGAGCTCGGTTTGTAAAAACGGGCCCCTAGCGAACTGCCAAGTATGTTCAAATATTGCCTCTGCTAGCTGTCTAGCTGTGTACGTGATATTTTGGCAACCTTTGACTGCTCTGAATGTCTTAAGGTCATAACGCTCATCCAAACCCAAAATGGGATCCTATTGGTTTTGACAACCACAGCCATATGTGTATCCACTTGAATTCGCACGAACTCGGGTGCGGCTCCGTTGGCTCAGAGGACTTTTGGCGCAGCGAAATGGCAATAGCTGAGACCCGGGCAGTGAAGCATTGAGCGTCCTGCGCACATCGCTCGGCCTCTGGTTCCCTGCCTTGTGCTGACAAATCAATAAATACGTCTGGTAGGATTAAAAAAACAAAAAACAGCAAGCCGCAAGCGCGGGTTGACTTCGCGAATCCTTGGAGCCCATGCGGTTGGCATACTCTATGGCATGCTGGTGATGGATCGCCGCATGCTCCGACAAGCCCATGGCCTGAGGGAAAGATGGAGAGACAAGGAGAAGAGACCAAGGCACTGAGCGCCGGGGCGCACACAAAAAGCACTTGCTTTTAAGCCACCGTCAACAAAATGGAAACAGTTGGGCATTTTTTTACATGTCCCGTGCTCTCAAAAACTCACCCTTCACAGCGGAAAACACTTCACTGTTGCAGGTCGAGCTGCAAAACGAAAGTGTGACAAGCAAGGACCGAAGCAACCATGTTCCTGTTTACGAGCATAGGACCTTAGGACACGTATCTTGGAGGCCGTGTCTGTACAGCACGCTCTTACAATATGTCTGTTGCAACTCGTCAAGCCATGGTCAAACATTTGCAGGTGTACTGATTGAACGTTAAAAGAGTTGAATGTGCCACGACCATTGAAACTTGAAACCTCGACAACCTGCAACACCTCTGACAATCCCTCGCAACTTCATAAGGATCTGCAGCATTCACATTGCTGTGCTAAAGTGCCATAGCCACAAGATTCACAAGATGTTGCGATCCCAATACATGCATGCCAATAATGAACAAAGCCGATGGATCAGCCTGCAGCTCTAGCCCGCAGTAGCAAGTGTTCAATAGCACTGTACACAAAGCTCCTTCGGCAGCTCCACGAAAGTTCACTTTGGAATTGCTGCAATTCGACCAATTCACACATCTCCGCATAAGTGCAATACACATCGTAGTGGTGGAAGAGCCAGTAGTACGAGTAGTGGTAGTAGCATTAAGAGTAGTAGCAGTAGTTGTATACTAGTATTTGTAAAGTAAGAGTGGAAGTGCAGCCGGAATGGAATCTAGACACCGCTTTGTTTGCCAACCTCATGCTTCCTTAAGGTCTTGGCGTTCTTCCATGTTCTTCCATCCCTTGGCAAAATGCACCAAAGTTAATGTACGAGTCTTGCGACGAGTGCAATGCGATTCTTGGTGGCCGATGGCCTAAGGATTGTCTGTGCATAAGACTGCTGAATGCACTGTCGTGGGCCTGGCAGTCATGTTTGCGTTTCCAATGGCTGAGTGATTTGAAGCAGTGGGGCTTGACTGAACACAGAGTCGTGCGGTCCAAAGCAGAGTGGAACCATGAAGCACCACTTGCAACACAGCACGGTTGCCTTTTTGTGCCACGTTGCCTGAAAGACGATGCCCAGGTTGGTGTGAGCAATCAATCTTCCAGTGCTGTCCTGAGCCGATTTCTCACTTCCGGATCACACCAAAATGGAAGCCCTGAGGCTGTGACAGCCAACTCCAGGTGCTTGTTGTGATACTGGATCGCCTCGTCGTACTGCCCTGGCGCCGGCTGAACGCATTCCTTAAATGAAAGAACACGAGTCTCACATTTGCGAAGTCCGCACATGTTGAGATGCCATTGACAATTGCCAAGATCGAGTTTCTCCATCTCCCGCCCTCCCTATGCGCGCGCAACACTTTCTCAGCGGCTCTCTGAGTGCGTGAGATCAATGAAACGATGCAATGGAGCATCTCGAGCATTGTTGCAGCAATTCCGACCAAGTGCTTGCAGTTGCAAGAACGGGGGATTCATACGACCCTCATTGCCATACTACACAAGCGGCATTGCATGCCGTTGGTATGGCTCCGGGGGGCACTGAACATGCTCGCCAATGAAAGCCGTACCATGAGCGTACATGCGTCACACTTGACGATTTGATGCAAGAGAAGCTTTAAACGCGTGTGAACCTAAAATGAGTTGTTCAATGTGGATACGTCGATCCCATACATGTCAACAGTCCGGTTGCGTTTAATAAGTTTAATACGCTGTCGCATGTCCATGGCGTGCGCCAAGAATTTCTCTCAAAAGCCTCCTGGCAACTTGACCGTACGACGTCCCACCTCCCTCAAGGAACGAAATTTGCCTCTTCGGCGCTATGCGTCAGACCAGCTCCGCTGGTTTCCCGAGGATGAAGCAGGCCGTGGAACCATCAACTGGCCAATCTCAACCCCGCGCTCAGAAACGGAAACGGCTGCTCGAAGGGGTTAAGATCAGAGGACACATGCAATGCGAAAGAGCTGGGCGTTGATTGTGCGAGGATAATGACTGGAGGGCTCGCTCCATACGCTTGAGTCTGGCCAAGTCTACTTGTGTACATATCAAACCGGCGGTTGCTCTAAATTCCTTTGCCTCGAAACGGCCATTCTTCGCGAAACAAATACACTCGCGAATCTTTTGCGGTTTCATCGCCGTGCCCTTTTCATTGCTACAGTCAGAAAGTCGCAGCTTCTAAGCACCAGCGTTGCACGCGACATGCGTTTCCGCAACTCCAGCTGTAAAGTCGCAACTTTTCAGCACAGGGGTAGAACATGGATGCACTTCCGCAGCTCCGGCTGGAAAGTCGCGAAGCCAGTACACGAAATGCACTTGACCAGCGCGGCGCTCAGAAAGTACCTCCCTTGCAATCGAAGCCTGCGCGCAAGCGCGCAGGCTTTCGCGGATCTGTTGCGGAACCCTCGCGATAATCACCCACGTTTCAGAGCGTAGAGCCAACTAACACCCACAAACACACGCACACATACACTTGGAGCACTGAGCAGCCAATCAGGGTATCAAACCACCAAGCTTGTCAGCGCAAAATCAACCAAGGGTTTCGATCAGCTATAAAAGGAGGCTCAACAGAAAAGATGCGCTGCATATCTCCGATTTACAAGATACAGTTACGCAAAAGTTTCGCAAAAACAGACGTGACTTTCGCAACTCCATTGCGAATCTTTCAAGGAGGTACCTCAACCAACACCGATGGTCACCGAATACTAAACTCTTACAAGGGCCTTTAGAACGACACCCGACATCCACATATATTCGCTTTGTGAAAATGCATCTCTTGCCACATGCTGCACAATACTGCGCACTTTATCTGTGCCCACCTCCCCCTCATATCTGCATTCACGACCTTGTAAAGGTTGTAAAAAGCCGGATTGAAATGCGTATTGTCGCAAAATTCACGACTCGCAATAAGACAGCCATGGTCAACTCCCTCTCCAGGTGGGAGCTTGAATCTGCGTCTCGCTTGAAAAAAGACACAGGCGGCTGGGCCACTATGGCGGAAACAGCCCAGATCTACAGGCAGAGCCGCTCATACTTACACAAACCTGGGAAAAAGGAATATGAACAAATATCTAGAAACACCATATTAGTACCTATATATTATGATGTATATGTATTTTGTACATAGTATGCTCATACTCATACTCAAATACTTGTGCATGATCTAAACTGATGACAGTGCAAGAACTCTCCAACAGGTGGTCTCGCTCCACTGCGACCCGCCTGACGTTGCACTGAGTTTGGGTTTCTTCAAACGAGTGCAAGCCCTGAGTCAGTCTCAAGTGCCTCCACCCAGCTGTTGAGTTTGCACCTCTCAGTCCGTTGTTCCAATGTGCCTTGGTCAAACTCCTTGAGTCGCTGAGATTATTGAAGCCTTAAGGTAAGGCCGTTCGAAACACTCGTGGCTTGACGAAGAATGGATGACGATCCTGAGCTTTAAAGGCGCTGCCGACTGGAACTTCCTAACTGGCGGAGTGAGTGCCAAAGAGACTGGCCAGGGCGATTGAAAGCGGTGGCCAGGAAGCTTTGTGTCCATGCACACCGATCGCCGTCAATTATTGGCACCAAGCTCGTGTCAGGCCGAAGCTTGCCGCGAAGCCGCTTGCGCCCTCGGGAAGAGAGGACCGTGACCAAACTGGCCAAGCAGCAATGTGAAGATGGTTGAGAAAAAGCCGTCCACACCTTGGCACAGTGGAAACCATGGCGGACCACGGATTCTGTGCAAGGTCCTGGTCAGCAAAATGGGAAATCCCCGGCCGGAGTGTTGTCTCAACACTGAAAACTACACATGCGCTGAATTCCATGACCAAAATCCCGGAAAGCCGCGCCAAGGTCCACACAGGACCCAAAAGTCTCGCTCGCGCCTCCAAAAACGATGCAACGCGGGAAGGTTGCCTCTGGAGGCCAGGAATCATGGAATCTGGAAACTCGCTCCTCGAAGCCGACTGGGTGCTTGGCACGCCGATCATCTCAATCCCAACCTGGGTGCCCACGTCCGGCAATGTACCACGCAAAGAAGCGGAAACCAACGCTCCAAACGCTCAAGCCCGCGGGCTTTTAAGGAAAGACGGTTTTTGAGAGAACGCCAGTTTGAATCTGACTGAGCAGCTGTAAATTACATTGGGAGTCCACCTTCACCATGTAACATAACATGGGCATGTGCCAAAACAGAAGCCAACAACATGGGCTGTTTTCCTTTACCCCCCCCCACCCCAGCCACCCGCCCCTGCCCCCCCCCCAAAAAAAAAAACAAAACACGGGGTAACCATCTCGTTCTAAAATCGGTTTTGCACCCAAACCTTTCTTTGGGCTGGCGCCTGGCTCATCCCACTGCGCGATGGAGGCGACGAAGGGCCTCTGTCGGCTGCTCTCGAAGGCGTCGCACTGCCGCCGCAGAGGCGTCGCCAGCACTTCGCCACCGCAGATCGGGACATCCGGGATCACGTCGTCGTCCTGCGCGGGCTTATTAAAAGGCCCAAAAACACGAAGGTCCGAAACGCCTGAGGAAAATTCCTCCCGAACAAAACGAGCTTGGTTCAGCCCCCAAATGGCATGCGCCATGCTTTCCAATGGCGCAAAGAAACTTGCCTCGGGCAAGCCGACACGTGCCGCTTTGGGACGCAAAAGGTCTCATGCATGGATCATCCTCCGGTTGACAACACGATGTTTGTACAGCAGTGTGCAGGGCTTGTGGCCAACCCGTGCCTCTTTTCCGCACTATCCACAAGCAATGCGCAATGTCATTTACAACTTTGGGGAGGTAGTGCACCCAACCAGTACTTTTTTTGCCTCTCAAGCGAGGTATTGCAGCCAACCAGTACTTTTTGCCTCTCAAGCGAAGTAGTGCACCCAACCAGTACTTCTTGCCTCTCAAGCCCTTGATCCTTGCTTCATGTCAGTTCCGTGAGCTCCCACATCGCCAGTCCTCCGGAACACTGAATTCCCACATCTCCTGGCCAATGTGAACAGCGAAAAGCGCTAAGCTCTCAACTAGCATATATCGTTCACATATTCTCGTACCACCTGCAAATCCTCATGGCTCACTCTTGCGTTTGGCCCGAAGAATCGTCAAAAGCCCACGGGTCTCCTGGCTGTAGCTCGAGGCAGCAGTCTTCATGGAGGACGACCGTGTGACCAAATCATCGTCGGATCCCTCGGTGGTCTCGTCGCAATCGCGAGAGCGAAGCTTTCCATTTGGCTTCCCCTCCTGGCCGTGCCCAGCCAGAGAGAACATGCTGAACCTGCCTACCAGCACCGCCCGAGTGCTGCCAAATTGGCGTCACTTAGGGGTAAAACACAAACAACGTCACTTTTTGGCTAAGTGATGCTTTGCTGGATTTTCGCAAACCCCCTAAAATCGGACGGATATACGAGGGCAGGGCAGGGCAAAAAGGCAGTGTGACCAAAGTCAGCACGCTGTGCGCCAACCTCAGCACAAAACCTGCTCATGACCCTTACAGCAAACGGCCATGCAAATCTCCATCGCTCGTCACGAGCATGTCACTTGCAGGTTGTTTGCTCGGCCTGCGCGTCGCTTGCGCGTCGCCTCGAGTCGCTTGCGTTTTTCTCCGTGTCACTGGGGTGTCGCTTGCGTGTCGCTTGCGTGTCGCCGTGTCGCTTGCGTGTCGCCCCGTGCCGCTTGCGTGTCGCTTGCGTGTCGCTTGCGTGTCGCTTGCGTGTCGCTTGCGTGTCGCTTGCGTGTCGCTTGCGTGTCGCTTGCGTGTTGCCCTGTGTCACGCAGAGTGAAAGTGCTGCTTTGGGGCCCCAAGGCATGACATTTTAGCCCCCAAAGCATCACTTCGGCTGCGAAAGCGTGTCGCTTGCGTGTCGCTTGCGTGTCGCTTGCGTGTCGCTTGCGTGTCGCCTGCGTGTCGCCTGCGCGTCACGTGCGTTTCGGCCAGCGTCGCTCGCGCGCCGCCCTGCGTCGTGCTCGTTTCGCCTCGTGTCGCTTGCGTGTCGCCCTGTGTTGCCTGCGTATTGCCCCGTGTCGCCCCGCGTTGCCCCATGCTGCTTTTCGCGAAAGATTTTCAATAGCCTTTGCTGGCAATTTTGTCCAGATCTAGGCTCACAGTGGGGGTGGCAAATCTGCAGACAGTTCTTCTGGCCGCGAGCTTGGAAAACGCTTAGCAGACTCAGCTGCCATGAATGGGCTGAGAATGGTCTCCAAACTGGAGGGTTATAGGCCTGAAGTGCTGCCGATTGCATTTTTTCACAAGTGCCTTCAAATTGGCGGCACTTTCACAAAATTGAGAACAACGGTCGTTGGGTGGTCCTGGTAGGGTCCATCTGAACTTGCAACCCAATTTGATTGTAGCTTTGTCTGCTTGGCAACCGCACCCCGCCTGTCAGAGCAACGACTAGTACAACTTCCTACTAATAACTTCGACTTGAGGTAGGCAGTGAGAATGGCCCCAGTCCATTGGGCACACTCCAGGAAAACATCTAGTACCAAATCAGAGGACATTTCACGCAAACACACGCAACCAAAAACAAAAGTAAACACAAACACAAAGACACACAAGGGAAAAAAAGCAAGCAAGCAAGCAAGCAAGCAAGCAAGCGAGCGAGCGAGCGAGGGAAGCAAACACACACACACACAGAAAAAAAAAAACAGAAACACAGAAACGCAGAAACGCAGAAACGCAGAAACACAGAAGCACAAAAGCACAGAAGCACAGAAGCACAGAAGCACGGAAACACGGAAACACGGAAACATAGAAACACAGAAGCACACACACACACCAAAACAAACAAACAAACAAACAAAGAAAGAAAGAAAGAAACAAACAAACAAACAATATCACACAAAAACCACAACCAGCAAACACAACACAAACACACAAACCAAAACACACACGCACACACTCAACAAAGCCACCTGTGCTGTTGCTTCACCCCCAAATAGACTATCAATTGTATTCGGATGAATCCGGACAACCATAGCACCAAAAAGCGGCTCCCTAGTAGTTACAACATTTTCTGCATGGAACCTTGCACGGCTCTTTTGCCTTTTCATGCCCCTCAAAGCAAACACGACAGCAACATGTAATTCTGGCAACAGCTCATCAACCACGTCTCTTCCGAGAGCTTCCGCGCGGAAGGACCGCCTTCAACAGCCCTTCCGTGAACCTTCCGCGGCGGTGTGCTAGCTTTTTGGTTGATATGACCTCCATAGATTCTTGTTTGAGCGGTAGAGAAACAAAACAAAAACACCACTCTGGTGCAGGGGCTAGAGGGCTTTTCTCGGGCTTCTTTTGGGTGGCTTTTGAGTCGGTTTAGGAATATTGGTTTAGGATGGTTTGAGCGAAACAAAAAAAAAAAAAACACGTCAACACGCCACTCATGTGCTCTGCTCTATCCTCGTTGCACACTCCGGTGCTGGCGATTACCTGCAATGCCTCCAACCTGGTGTGAAGCTCCAAGGCGTTGGCGTCTAAACTCTGGAGATCGTACTTGGCCGTCTTGGCCAGCGTGCTCAGCACTCCAACCTGCGAGGAGGAGAAACTCTCAGGACACTGAAAACTTCCCGAAGATCCTTCCTAGATGTATCGAGGAGTAACAGAAACCCTCGGGTGAGTCATAATCAAAACCCGGTATTCAAATGGTTGACCCAGAACCCTGTAAGGACACACAAGGGCGCGCAGCTGCTTCTGGGAGGGATACCCGTAGATCCTTGGTGGATGTAACATTGCTATGAAGAACCTCACAGCCTTTGCAGTAAAGCTTTCGGAACGCGATTCCCGACTTTTTGTTCTTGCAAAGAAAGCGACCCAGGATGAAAATCCCCCTGCTTCCACTTTTTCTGCCAGCCGGACCTGCGTTTGAGTATCCTCTGCTTCCACTTGGAACTTCGTGTCCAACTTCTCCTTCCCCACATATCCTTCTGGGAAGGTGATGCTGAAGGAGACCTGAAAAGGCGGAAGGCCGTTCACCCGGTAGGCCATGGCCTTCGCTCGCACGGGGAACCGTGAGACAGCAATCAAGCAGGCACTGGACTGGCTGGAAGACTGGGCAACGTTCATACTGATTCTGCGATGCTGTCCTTGAGCAAAGGGCGACATCATTTGCGAGCTCTCGTGCTATGGTGAAAACACATTTTCTTGTGGTGCAAGCGTCTTGTGAAGCTGTTTGAACTTCTAGCGCTTATCAGAGCCATACAATAATTGGTGTTCTTGTTTGGGGGGGGTCTCCAAAAAACGGTGGGGTTCCTGTTGGCTCTCCTTCAAGCCAAGCAAAACAAGGGGACCCTGCAAAGAAGACGCACCCAACCCAAGACCCGAGCCCTCGCCAGCTGCGGGGCCCAGACCCATCTTGAAGCAGTCGATGCCCAGACAGTTGTAGGCCAGCGCCTTTCGGCCCGGAAAATCGAACATCCGGAGACGAGATGCGGAGTGGGTCAGTCCGTCTTTAGGACCCCCCAACCTCAAAACGAAAGGGTGGTTGTCCTTTTGTTTCGCTTTAAATCCCGTGAAGATGGGGCACGCTCAAAAAAAACACACCCATGTTTTTGTTGTTTTTGCTTTTGGGGGGGTCCCCTTTTGGTTTCAACCCCAAAAAGGGTATGATCAAACAAATCAAAATCTCATGCAGGGCGAGCAATGCAACGTGCAATGTGAGGTTTTGAGTAACGCATACTGTTCACTTAAGAGTCTGCGAAATTCCGTCAACTCAAAAAGCACTCTCAGGGTCTCTTGCCAACATTGGCTTTGCGCAAGCCGCATGCAGCGTCTCGTTCATCCCGAGCCTAGCCCGGGTTGGGACTTGCGGCCGCAAAAAGAGCCCTTCCAAAAACAACTCAGCAGTGTTCTTTTGGGGTTGCCATCCAAACTGCAAATGTTGATTTGCTATTTTTACCTCCAGCCCTTAGCAGCGTTCTTTTCGGGTTTCCATCCAAACTGCAAATGTTGATTTGCTATTTTTACCTCCAGCCCTTAGGAGCGTTCTTTTCGGGTTTCCATCCAAACTGCAAATGTTGATTTGCTATTTTTACCTCCAGCCCTTAGGAGCGTTCTTTTCGGGTTGCCATCCAAACTGCAAATGTTGATTTGCTATTTTTACCTCCAGCCCTTAGCAGCGTTCTTTTCGGGTTGCCATCCAAACTGCAAATGTTGATTTGCTATTTTTACCTCCAGCCCTTAGCAGCGTTCTTTTCGGGTTTCCATCCAAACTGCAAATGTTGCTATTTTTACCTCCAGCCCTTAGGAGCGTTCTTTTCGGGTTGCCATCCAAACCGCAAATGTTGATTTGCTATTTTTACCTCCAGCCCTTAGCAGCGTTCTTTCGGGTTGCCGTCCAAACTGCAAATGTTGATTTGCTATTCTTACCTCCAGCCCATAGCAGCGTTCTTTTCGGTTTGCCATCCAAACTGCAAATGTTGATTTGCTATTTTTACCTTCAGCCCTTAGCAGCGTTCTTTTCGGGTTGCCATCCAAACTGCAAATGTTGATTTGCTATTTTTACCTCCAGCCCTTAGCAGCGTTCTTTTGGGGTTGCCATCCAAACTGCAAGTGTTGATTTGCTATTTTTACCTCCAGCCCTTAGCAGCGTTCTTTTCGGGTTGCCATCCAAACTGCAAGTGCTGATTTGCTATTTTTACCTCCAGCGTTCTTTTCGGGTTGCCATCCAAACTGCAAATGTTGATTTGCTATTTTTACCTCCAGCCCTTAGCAGCGTTCTTTTCGGGTTGCCATCCAAACTGCAAGTGTTGATTTGCTATTTTTACCTCCAGCCCTTAGCAGCGTTCTTTTCGGGTTGCCATCCAAACTGCAAATGTTGATTTGTTGCTATTTCTACCTCCAGCCCTTAGCAGCGTTCTTTTCGGGTTGCCATCCAAACTGCAAATGTTGATTTGCTCTTCTACTTCCCGCCCGCCTCGCCCTGGGTGTTCTTGGAGGTAATGCACAAGGCCAGGAACTGCTTGTACTTCTGAACTGCCTCTTCCGCGCGGGCGCGAACGCGACGTGATGTGGCTGGCTCGGTGCGGCGGCACGTGAAAGGCCTCATCGTAGGAGCCCTGGTTGTCGTACACCACCCCCATCTTATGGTAGGCCTTGCAACACAAAAGCCCTTGAATGACCACGAGAAGCATTACTTGGGTGCTGGAATCCATCTGAAGGAAAGTGATTACCTTTTCAGCGCAACATGACGCGGAAGTCGTAAACCGACACCTCTAGAGCAAACGTAAGGAACCGCAGACTGGAAGAGGTCTCCCGACCGTTTTGGCTTCAACAGCCATGGCCCCACTGGCTTTCGCCTTTTCCAGCCCACCTGCAAGGCCTGGTACACGTTGCCTGAACGGCTCGCCTGCGCACGACGTCATACCCAACAGCCCAACACAGCCCAGAGCCCACAACCCAACAAGCCAACAGCCTAACAGCTTAAAAGCCTAGCAGCCCAACAGTCCCACAGCCCATCAGCCCAACAAGCCCAACAGCACCAGCCGGTCATCTCACTGTGCCATGAGCACTTTTCTCACTCGATTTGTTGCCTAGGGTTTAACAATCAAACAGGGCCCAACAACAGCATTCAGCATCGTGATTCACATCTGACCTAGCACGTTGCGTATTTCAATTTCGGTCAATATGATATCTCCCCATATTTGGCACATCACATATTACATTTGCACAGCGCTCCTCCGTTCACCACATAGAACGTTTGCATTGCGAAGGGAGCGTTAGAGATAGGGAATCACATTGGTATCTGAGGCCATGCACAACTCTCTGCGCTCTGAAGGCAACACGGCCGCAGCCTATCGGAAATTGTATGGACTTCCCCGGAGAGTTTCAAGGGTTTCGTGGGGGTAGGAGAATTCGCAGGACCTTAAGTTCTGATTGAGCTATTCGTCGGACTTCGGAGTTTAGCTGAACTCACGAAAGGCTCACCATGTCTAAGTTGTTGCAGAGGGCGAATCAAATACGGATCAACCCAATCCAATTGTTCAACGAAGGTTATTGCAAGAGCCTCGGCCTGAACAAATTATGCGGTAGTTCTCTGCCGCTGAACGGTAGGCCTCCAATGGACCTTCAAATTTGGGAGAACCAATGTGACTTAACCGGAACGCCGGCATTCGCAGCTCAGCCCTGCGCTGCTATCTGGTTGAAACGAGGCTTGAACTACTTCGAAACACTTGAAGGTCGCAACGCATTTGCTGATACGCAGAACATGCTGTGCAGAAGGCAAAGGCTACCAAAAGAGCTCGACAGCACAAGGAGGGCTTATTTGGGATGCCAGTGCATGCTCCTCCATCACCTATTCACCATGCTTAATCTCAGTCAAGCCGCCGAGTCAGCCAGCATCTTCAGGTCTGCTATCTGCTGCCTCCATGCTTGCCATCCACTCAGCACGCAATGCTTGCAGCCTCACACTTGTTCCAAAACAATCCAAATGCCCACTCAAAGAACGTGCCAAAGCCTGCCTGTGATCATTGACACTCCTCGACATCTGAGCTTTACGTCGGATTCTCCGAACCTTGCCAATCAGAATTGCACAGTTGATCGAGCATGTTCCGCGATTGTGAAAATAAATGAAGCCTGGTTTGAAACTTTGATTTGGGCAAACTTTCTTTCCCTGTGTTCATACGCGAAATGGTCTCCATTTGGACGAGGCCACGGAGTAAAACGGAAAGGGAAGAACACATAGATCACGAAAACATCAATGCCAGCAATCGCGCAAACTGCCTGGACATGTTGACGGCAACAGTGGGCTCACTTTTCAGCTTGGACCAGGCCACAAAAAGCAACAATCTGAGTGGATCTACAAAAGCAAAGCATGCACAATTTGACAATTTGGCTTCTCTGGCCTGGTCCAAGCTGAAAACAGGTACTCTTTGCTTTGCGTTGAGGGGGCACGCAGTCTGTCCCAATTTTTGCTTCCAAAGCTGGCGTGGCTGGCAAAGCAAAGCTAGTGACAGTTTGCTTTCCCACGGTGATCAGAGATTGTGTGGCCGAAAAAGAGCAAGTCGGTTTGTCTGGCTTGGCCCAAGCTGCAAACAGGCGCTCTTCGCTTTTGGTCAGCCAAACGAGGATTTTCCATAAACACAATGATACTTTTCAAAAAGCTTTCTCCATGATTCCGCTTTCCATCAGCCTTTTTTGTTGTTGTTGCTTGACCCTACTTCCGTGATTACTTACTTTGTTCGTCGTTACTTAAGAGGAAAGCGGTCTCTGCCCTATTCAAGCTGGGTGCTGCACGTAATTTGCAGGCATGGGAGGCTGCCCTGACATGGCCTGCGAGCGAGGGGGTTGGCCAACATGGTCTTTTCTTTGCGGCCATGACATGTTTTTATGCGCTTGTGTCATTTTAGAACCCAACATTTACAAGGAATCCAAAGTCCACCTTGCTAAGTATAGCTTTAAACAAAACAACTCGATTACGGCATGGCACTGTTTCGGCACCCATCTTTAACGCCAAAAGCGATAAATCTCACATCTCGAACATGGGTGTTTTTTGAGGGGACCTCCCTAACCACTCTAAAAGGGGCACCCGGATTTTGGCGTAGTATTGGCTTTGCGGCACCCTTGAAAGCAAAGACTACATCTGGAAAGTATTCGGAGCTTTCCTATTGGGGTATGGGTCGCAATTAAACTACCAGGGGACCGCGGGTGTTCATCCTTGTTTCCATTTACCAGGGCAACCCATTTTGGAGATTTAGTCTTGATCCGCGCCCATTTGTTTCGCGGTTCTTCGACAAAGATGGAGCAAAAACAGCACTCAGCCAGTACTCATGAAACCCAATACGAAGCAAATATTAAGCCCATCCTTATTCCAAACCAATACTGAACCGGGACTCCAGAACCAATCAACTAATCCCAATAAAAGCGATACACGGCGATACACCGAAAAGGACGAGGGCAAATAGCAGGCGCTGGGGCGCCTTTAAAAACGCGGTCCCCTCTTGGCGACTGTTGCGACTCTTTGGGAGGCAGCGGAGGTACATGGGTGCGTCCTTTTGTGAGGGTAATTTTTTTGGGGTTAACGGCTGGCGTAATAAAGAGAGCTTCCACTTTGCCGGTCCCTCAAAAAAGGACACCATGGCCATGGGTCAAAACCGGTTAGCCCCCAGTGAACATCCGATTCAATCCAACCACTAAGATAGGAAACCTAAAATGAGCGGTGAATTCACCTACCCCACAATGGGATCCCAAAACGGTGTTGACAACCACAGCCACATGAGTTTTGCTTGGTTTTGCCTGCAGACCTGGGCTCGGAAACTTCTCGCCGGGCCTGCCGGCTAGAGGATTGGAGCATCTGGCTGCCACCTGCGTGGAGAAGCTTCTCACAACCAGCCCCACACTCTAGTTCTCCATCCGCGGCAACAAACACACACACAGACATGCAAAAGTTGCTATGGCAGCTTCCTTGGACAGCTTGATCTCAAAGGTCATGATTTCACCAAGGCGCCACGGGCTGTTGGACCACTGCCTAGAATCAACCTGGATGGCATGTCCGCTTTTTGCTTCTCCAGCTGGAGTTTTGCACATCTTGTGCAGCTCTCATCCTGGAGGCCTCATGGCAAGCTGACGCACGGGATACGGCTCCATCATTCAGTGGAGTTGCTCCGTGCCTCGGCGCGCTCACGACAATCCTAAGCAACCCGTACAGTCACCAGGCCCCCGGCTTTCACCTGTCGCGCATCCACAAAGGGGATCGGCCTGTCCGGTGCCAAATCATTTGGCGCCCAAGAGTCTGGCCTTTGGGCGCATGAGATACTGTTTCCCATGTTCCCTTGAAACTGCGTCAAATTTTCCCTCGCTCCCTGGATGGCAACCCAAAAAAGCATCCACTTCTGCTAAAACATGGTCTTCCCACGTGACTTTCAGGCCCAGGAAAGTGAGAAGACCTTCGCAACTCCTAGAGCTACTGGACTTCTCTCCATGCAACGCACCGTTCAGAACCCAAAAAAAAATGATGGTTCCCCAACGTAAATACCAAGCACAGGCAGAATAAGGCTGATCTTGAGAGCAGTCTTCTTTTCCATGGCCCAAGAGCAGTCAGATACGGAATGAGAGCTGCCTGCCCAAACCAATGGCTCCAACCATGGCTTCAAAATCCATCTCGCACCACTTCAGAACCCAAAACAATGATGGCTCCCCTGTAAATACCAAGCAACAATGGTTTCAACCATGGCTTCATTTCGTGGCCCGAGAAGCGGATGTCGTCAGCTTTCGAGGCCAGCCGCGCCTGTCGCGCCGCAAAGGCTCGCGGTAGAGCAGCTTCTTTGCTGCACCCTGGGGATGCAGTGGCAAAACTTCTGGCATCGCTATCATGACATTGCCTTGGTATACAATTGAAGAAACATATACCGAAGTATATATATATATAATATGTATTAGTGAATAATAATATATAATAATACATGTAAGTAAGCATACGATATGATATAATTAATACACACAACAGGTTGAGTTATCTAATTGATGCTGAAGGTAACACATCTGAGCTCGACGAAAAATCCGGCTGATTGAGTTCAGCGAGCACGAACCACAGCCAGGCTGCGGCCCTCTCTGGCCCCGAAAAGGCATGCCTTTTCCTGACACGCAAACAATCATGCGGGACAGAAACGAGGACAAGCTGGAGGACGGATCATGCGTGCATACGTGGCACAATAATTTATGTGGCTGGATTTGCGCGATCCGCCGCCCATTTCGTTTCTTTCGATGTCTCTTTTGTCAATGCCTTTGGATGTACTGTCTATTTAACGCATACGTAGGTTTTTCGCCTATGTTTGACTGTGCATCGCTTTTGAGTGGCTGCGAACCTCATTTCGCAGGGGATTCATGCCAACCACTCTGGAGGTGGGTTTATGCGTAGGCTGAGTTGCGGGCTGAATCTCTAGCAAGGACGGTGCTCACCACGATGGCAATCAGCGCCAGCACCATGAACACCGAGAGCGTGACCTTGGGAGGTGGATCTTGTGCCCCGCTCTCGGGCGCATCGTCTCAAGGCACAACAGACCTGGGAAGCCGGCGACGACCTCTGTCTTGTCAAATCGCACCACCTCTGTCAATGGCTTCAGTCGGCACTGCTTGATTCTGTGCCCGCAATTTTTCGCCCAATGAAAAGTGCGATCCATTGATCATGTACTTCATTCAACTCTCAATCGTGGGTAAGCAGAGAGCAGCAGCGTGACAACCTCTCTAACTTGACTGCCTGCATCACCATTCCGACTCTTCCTGCAGCACTAGAAACCCCCCAGTGATTCTGCAAAGAATGTCTGATTCAGAAAGTTGAAATCGG